GTTTAAATAAGCATTTCTGATTTTATGAGGTTTTGTGGATTCCTTATAACATCTTAATGGCTCCACGTACAAAAAACGTTCAGAACCGCTATATGTACAGTTACTACGTTGTATAATCAGTATTATACACGTCATAATAATTTTATTTTTTTCATTCCTTACGTTTTATACATGGACCTAATTACCTGTGCTGGCACTATGATTTGCGAGGCCCTGCGCAAATTATAAACGCGAGATTCCGAATCTGAATACGAATTATTATATTATTAGATTGGTACATAATTAAAATATTTTATCATTGAACAGTTAATATTTAATTAATTAATCAACAATAGAATCTACACGAATTCACATAACAAAACGCCCATATTTGGAATCGAAATACTAATAATAGTACTAACAATAATACTAATAATATTAATAACAATATGAGTTTACATAAAAACCCGGGCCTTACTTAGTATCTATATTTTATTTATTTTAACACTACCTTCTATATCGCAGTGATTAACTGAATGAAGGTAATATTGTTCATATATTATTTATAGTAATTAAATAAGACTCACCAACGTTTCTCGGTCATCGTTTAAAAATACGGCAACGGCAACTGTCAAACATTCCACATCCGACAGAATAATCACGTTCTATCATTCACAGGAAAACAAAATAAAAAATGTATTATACTGGTGATATCAAGGTTATATTAGATTTATTAAATCGGAAGAATGTTGATAATTAATAATATGAGAAAAGCCAATTGTAGATAGATATTATTACGAACTATTTTATTGTTATCAACCGATTGTGAGTTACGAGTACGTATATTAAATGACGTCATCGGTCAACCGTGTGTATAAACAAAAAGAAAATCACTGATCTAATAACAAAAAAATTTTCTGGACGTATTATGCATTACAGATGATTTATATAATTCATACGATTTATACGAGTGCAAGAAACATATTATATCAACGTTTTTTCTATTTAGTTAGATTGTTATATACTAAAAATAAAGAGGAGCACTCTATGCGATTACACTTTCTGCACACTCCTCGCGCCGGCACTGACCACTACGAGTGCTTGTCTATATATCTCGGGGATCTTTTCGGTTATCTAGCCGCCATCAATATTTTCATTTTTCTGGGCATATACCGGCTTCATTTTATTTAGGTGATTTAATATATCCTAGGATATGTTATTGCAAAATAAAGTTCTTTTAAAATTTTTTCGCAAAATATATTTTATTTTACAAATTGAACCGGCCAAAATTCCGCAATATACATCAACATTTTTTCAAATATATTTTCTTCTTTGTAGAGCTGCCTCCATATAAATTTGCAGAGGTAACTGTGTAACATTGATCTGCTTGAGCCTCATCTCTTTTTATTCTTGGATTTAGCCTTCCCCTACATACTTTGCACTTTTTGTGTGTGTGCTCCAGTCAGTGCCAGATTACCCATTAAGCAGAGTAGACGCCCGCCTTAGGGCCTCACTCATTTAAGGAGCCCTGTGAAAATGGAAAACTATATTTTTTTATTTAACAATACATGCATTTTATTTACGAATTAACAGGACAAAAGTCATTATGAAATATATATTATATATATATATATTAAGCTGTAGACGTTATAGGTAGTATTAATAATATAATTATTTGGAAAAAAATATAAATAATATAATAATTTATTGATTTTTCTTGCAAATAAAAAAATTCAATAAACACAATTTTGTTTTTAAATAATAGTTGGTTATTATTAAAGCTTTTTACTTTAATTATTGAATAGTAATGTTAAAAATGTATATAAAAAATTATTTTGTAAGGACCAACATTTTAATTGCCTAGGGGCCCACAAATGTTTAATCCAGCACTTGCTCAAGTCAATTGATTTACTAAAATACCATATCTTTGAAAAAAATTTGATAGCATCACTTTCCTCTTCGATTGGTTTCGAGTGACGTAAGAAATTTATGTTTACCAAATCTAAACCTAAACGTTACTAACAAATAACAGTACGACAGTAGGGTCGTTTGGTTACATATTTTAACTTAGAAAGCATGTATCAGCATGTTATCTACAGGTATATGCGCGGAAGAATAGCGGTTAAATAACCGAAAAGATCCTATTTCGGTATATTTTCTATTCATATTTTACAACCGATTTTTCCGTAACCGGTATAATTATTTTTTATTCTTCCCTCCTTCACCAAGGTCGCAGAGCTTTTGCTGTCCCGCCGACAAAGTAATCCATCCGAAGAGGGATCGGAGAACGATTGTCGATGACGAAGAATCAGAGTTGGACAAAGTCCTGGACCGAGCGGCACCGGAACCCATCAAACCGTTGCCAGAAGAACCGGAATGTGGCATCAACACCAAATCCATATCAAAAATATTGGCCGTGCAAAACGCGACGGCCAGCGATTGGCCGTGGATGGCCGTATTCCTTGAGACGACCAACTATATGAATTTCTGCGACGGTGTGTTACTTAATCGTCGGTTTGTACTGACAGCGGCTCATTGTTTTAAAAGGTATTTCCGACTTTACAGCGGATATCACGCTTTTCCGATGGAAAACTATCTTAAAATATTCATTTTTTCCCACTTTCCCACTGTTGTAATATATAATTAGTGTTTTGGTCCGTTAACCGGCTTTGAAAAATTAATTTTGAATCGTTTACTTCTGTATAATTCCAATATAACCATTTTATGATATACGTTGTTACAAAAATGTTTAAATATCCTATTTAAAAGTCTATTATTTCATTATATACGTTTATAGCTAGGGTACGTTTTGAAAATAATGACCGTGTACACAGTTAGGTATAATAGCTATTGTAATAAAATTAGATAACTTTTCCAACAACAGAATCCGTATAATAGGTATACCGGTATTCGTTCTTTGTTGCCATAGTAAGACGCAGCTAATGCTACACTAATGTATAAAAAAAACTCATCAATGTGACCAGGAAAAGATAAAAATTATCTAATTAGTAATTTATGCTAATTTATTGCAACCGTCATTATACTTGTTTAACTAACCAAATTCTACTTCTCATTTACCTTGTACGGGTTTTTCATTTTCAAAACTTACACTAACTACACGAAACCAATTATTGGATTTTCGATTGCAATAAATTAAAATTTTCATCGTAACTTTTATCATAAAATTGCAATTTTGAAATCGTATAGAGGTAAAAACTTAAAAAATTAAGTTGCCAGTTAAGGGATGAAAATACGAATTTGATATTACCGTAATATTATTATGTTTGACACATGGCCACTAAAATTGGAGAAAAAAAGTGTAATATTTACGGATATATTTTCATCGGGAAAACATTGTGAGTCACTCTGTATATATGTATGTTATAACAAGTTGCGAATACCGGTCAGAGGTTATCGAATTTAATGCGTGTACGTCACCAGCAACGAATTGACATATCGGCAAATAAAAAAAACTAAGCTCGCATTTGAGAAAACATATACTAACAATACAATATTACATTTTTTCATGAACAATAAACATGAATTATTTATAGCATATGAACGCATGCTTTCAAAACGATAAGACAATAACATAATTTATCGCATGAATGGATTTGTAAACAAGTGCTCTCCCCCCCAAAAAAAAAGCAAATTGTTTTTTTAAATTGCTTCGCTGGTCCAAGTTCAAAAAAATTGTAAAACAGTCCAATTAAATTCAATAAATGTTCGAATATAATTTGATTTGAAACAAACGAAAAATCTTAGAGATTTTTCATAAAATAATTGTTTCTTCTTTAAAAACCTGTTTTCATCAAATGTTACGCCCATGTATCCACCACAAATTTTACAAATCATGCGATTACGTATTTATCAACGATATTAATTATATACATTTTCGTTACTCGTGTGTGTACACCTTTTCCACCTTAACCATTGAATACGGACAAATTTACATGGCCATTTGGCGGTGGCCCTTTGGACGTACGGAACAAATGGACATAAAAAAATTGATATTTAATATCAAAAAAGTATTAAACATTTATTATTGAGTTATGTTTATTAAAACATTATTTATATTAAAAGTTGTGGGTATAAATAATATTAATTAAGATAAATATCTAGTGTTATTTCACGTAAGAATGATGTTTTAGTTTTAGTAACATAAATTTGAACAATTCTGAAAATTCAATTATCCGAATCAATAAATTTCTTTAATTTTTTTTAGGGCACTCTCGCCTGTTTCAAGTTTCAAAATATATCACGTCCAGCTTGTGCTTTTCTGTTGATAAAAAACCATAAACTCGGATGTTTTACTCCCATTTCGTCGGCATTTAATCTCCTATGATTGTATTAACGTGTAAATGAACCAGAACGGCAGAACTAATACATGCAGTATATATGTTACGGGTAGAGTACGAAAATCGGGTAACGTGGACACTACCCATGCCCATTAAATAAACATATTTGTAAGACGTTTATTTTGTAGGTGCATTGATCGGGTAATTTGTACATTATCTACTTTTAAATGGACAAAGTATTTTCATAAAATAAAATACGACAAAGTATAAATTGTAGATAAAATTAATAAAATACGATAAAATATAAATTGTACATTATGATGAATCGTGTGCATTGATATTGTATACTAATTTTAAACTTCTGTACGGTGCTACTGGTTTTCGAGTTCACTTGTTCGATTTATTAATGTTTGATAATTTAGTTTTTTAAAAAAAAAAAAAAAAAATTGTTTTCTTAAAAAGAGTAATTTTATGAGAGTTTTGATTTATTAATTAATAAAAGTAATAAAAATTCGGTAAATTTAACGGAATCAAAATATTATAACATATTATTTGAAATAAAAAACGTGAAAAAAAAAACAAATAAATCATAATGAAACTTTTATAAATATTTTAAAAAAAAGTGTCGGCTATAAAAAAATCTTTATGTGAAATAGCTAATGCACAATTTCTTTTCGGTGGTTTAAGTTTTAAAAAAATGTTTGTGTAAAAATAATTGTTTAACAAATAAATGTAGGAGTAAATGTATATCTGGAGAGGTAGTTTGCAACTCAAAATGCCACCCTGTTCCAATAAATAATTGTATTTAATATCAGTTTTTAATTTTTATTTTGAATTAATAATATTCGGCTTTTTTTCTACTTCATACTTTATTCATAGCATTCTGGATAATGTACACATTATATTATTCATATGAATAAGATTTACTTTACTCGGATAATGTGTTAACTACCCATTTTCGAACTTTACCTGTAACATATATAAATTATTATAAATAATAGTTAGTTTTATACCTATTTATTTTTTTGTATGTACATTTATCCTATACATTCAAAGGGTCACGTCCTAATGGCTACGTTCATTTGCACTAAATCGCGTAACTATGCACCACAAATGATGCATGAAACTTATTGCGTTTTTCAGCTACACCAAACAAAAGTTTGTGGTCAGGCTCGGCGAATACGATTTCACTACCACCAATGATACGCAGTTCATCGATTACAAAGCGTCGGACATCAGACCGCATCCGGACTATGATCCTGCCACGCACGCCAACGACATAGCCATCGTGAGGCTGAACAGGCCTACAGTGTACAACTCTTTCATTCGGCCCATCTGCTTGCCCAAAACCAACATGGACGTGTACAAGAAATCCGCTGTCGTCACCGGTAAGACAAAAGTATACTGTAATAGTAGCAGTTGATAGAAAGTTGTAATATAACCGTTCGTGCTATCGCCGGCTTGACCAGCCGCAAGGTCTCAAAATGTTATTCCAAAACTTAAAGCGGTCTGAACGTTTTGTAGAATCATACATAGATCTATAATGACCAATATAGTCGCCCGTTGTAGGATAAGATACGGCTTAATAGCACAATATTTGGAAAAGTACTTCAGTACGAATTTGAGTGCCATTGTTTCAACAAAGACCTAGACAGTTTCGGATCACGAGTACACGTGTCCAAGGACGAGGCGTCCGATGAAAATAAACACAGCAAACAAGTTTTTTCACGTACTTTTGTTTAAAAAGTTTAATTCGTACTGTTTCTTGACTAGCGTATATCTTGAGCACGCTATTACGTAATATGATCTACCTGTCGTCTCCGCACTCCAATCGAATAGAATATACCAGTGGTTTCCAATTAGTGTAAAGTCATGGACCCTTAACTATAAACTAAATTGGTCCGAGGACCCTTTTTTTGTAAATACTTAATTTTCAATTTTGTTTAATTATGAAAATGAAAAAAAAATCAAGCCTTTTCATAATATTATACACACACATTTTCTAA